ATGTCGCCAATCCCCACCTCTTCAAGCACAGACACAAAAATGCACACGAGCAACAGCGCACACACCCTGTGGACCTATATCTCGTCTACCCATACCTTTAGACTTTAATTTCACATCTTTGTCCCACAGGTAGAAATCTATGGGTGAATTTTTTGGCTGATTTCAGGTTTGACTCCCTTCACAGCAATCGCCTTTTCTTGACTTTCCTGTTTCCCTGATTAGCCGCGCCTTAGTGATCCCTCTCCCTGTTGTTGAGCTAATGTCCTGGGTCCATGTGTCTTCTTTTTGATGTTCTCGTTCAATTCCCAAGTCTGGTCAGGAAGTACGCGAAATAACCGCTTACTCTTCCCTCCTCTATAATGCCCTGTTTATCAGGTTTCTTTGAAAGATGATGTTCACTACCTTCCTGCTCTTTCGTTTCCTGGTGTTTCTCCATATCAGGACAGTCTTTCCATCAAGCTGCAGTCAATTTAATGGCCGATAAGAGAGATATGTTTAGCTATATCCAATTCTTCCGGATCCATTTTTCTGCAGAGTCGCTGATGTTCTTTGATACTTGAATTGATTGTCCTTCCCTTCTTTCTGATATATTTTCCTTTTCAGTCCTGGTAGTTTATGCTGTAAGTTCCGGAGCACTCCATTCCGTTTCCAAGAAACACCTGAGTTAGCTTTTCCAGTTCCTATTCCCAGAAACCACAACCAATAAGTATTAGACTTATTATGACCACATTCAGGAATATCCCAATCTTCCTTCCATAATTATGGTTATATAGAAAATCAAGAGTAATTATTGCATGCAATTTCTTTAGGAAAATTGTTAGTTGAGATTTTCTTCGGAGCGAATGGCTGCCACTTTCAAAAAAGGCGAGTGTCCTTTCGCTTCCACATCCATGGTAAATTTGACTTTAATCCATTTCGTTTGCGCGCATTAGGAAATACTCCATTTTTCTTTTCCATGCGACTGGATTGCGAAGTAATTATCCAAATATTGTATAAGTATTGTTGGCTGCTGAGGTGACATTTTGGAATTCTCCTCTAACTTGTGCAATAAGGCATTAGCCAAGAGAGATGAGGGCGGTGAGCCCTTAGACAGACTAAATGTTTGCTCTTAGATGTTGCCGTTGAACGCGAAATATGTAGTTCTTGTTGCTAGGTTGGTT